TGCTGTCAGCACAGCTCAGACCAGGTCCCACATGGGGACCTCCCTGCTGTGAAAACGCCCAGAGGATCGGGCCTTCTCACAGGCCGGCCCCCTGCTCCCAGGACAGCCAGGAGGCTGGGATGCCCACGGCCCTCCCGGGAGGAGCCCTCAAACCACACCTTGCTTACATAACCCCTGCTCTGTGCCAGCGCTGAGCTGGGCCCAAGGCCGCCCTTCTGGAGCTGGCAGACGTGCTCATGAACCAGAGCGTGCACCAGGATGGTAGGAGAGGGCGCCATGGTGGGGAGGCCTCAGGTCGCCGAGGCACCATCTGTGGGCTGGGGCCCCGGAGCCGGCCTTCCACCACAGACGGACCGGGTGGTAGGGACAGCTTGCTGGGTGTGGGCACGTCTTTGGGGAGCAGAGCAGCAGCTGCGGACACGGTCGAGACAAACCCAGGCTCCTGAGCCAGCCTCTCGCCCCCTCCACCCACACGGCACAGCTATCCTGCTTCATCGGGACCAAGTGGTGGAAGGAGACGGGCAGGAGCCCCTGGGCAGCAGGCCTGGAGGCGCCCACGCCGGCGTGGGGTCGGGGGACCATGCGTCCTAACTCTGTGTGCAACCGCGGCAGACCCGGGTGCCTTGCAGGCCCTCCGGAGAAACCTGGTCCTGCATCCACTCCTGCCTGCCCGAGCACGCATCAGCCCCCCAGGCGTGCACCCTCTCAGCGTGAGGCCACCAACCAGCCTCTGGGAAGACGTGACATCAGAGCCGGGGTGCTGATGTCAGCACCAGAGCCAGATGCTGATGAAGAGCGAGGGTGTGGACAGATGGGGGCAGGACGTGGGTAGCCCCCAGGGCAGGTGCCCGCTCAGGAACCAAGGAGCAGGAATCAGGGGAAGGGGCACATCTGGGATGGGAGCCCCCCGACTATCAATGTTGTGGACACTGTCCCGAAGACATTGTAATTCTAGGAATAGGCTGTGCCCAATGGGAATATAGTCCCCAAATGCTCACTTCCTCTCCGTCCAGAACCACACTCATCTCCTGTTGTGGGAGCCTGTAGGGCCAGCCCCCCAACCCGCCCCAGGGGCAGGCATCAGCTTCCTACCCTACCTATGATGGTCGTGGCCACCTGACTTGCCTTGCTGCATGTAAACAGACAAGATGCAAAGGCCTACAGCATAGACTTTGATCGTGCCCGTGTGGTTCGGCTTGGCCCTCTGAGTCTTGTACGGAGAATACCCCAGGGAGCTCACCTCTTGCCACCTGGGTCCCAGAAAGAGACCTGAACCTGACTCACAGTCTGGAGCAGAGCCCCTCCGGTCAACCTACAGCCCTGGGAGCCAGAAAAACAAAGTTGGCATTTTAAGTCACGGAGATTCTGCGGACTGCCGCTTAGACAGCATTAGCCCAGCGGGAGCTGACATCCCTGCCCATTCCTTGGCTAGGGGTAGGGGGGTATCCACGGAAGTAGTCTAAGTATCCAGAAGGCCCTGAAGTGCTCTTACCAGAAGGAGGTGGGATGGACGGCAGAGCGCACGGAGGAGCTGACCTCTGGCTCCTAGATGCGGCACCGGGGCTGGCCTGCTGGCCGGCACTCTTCTCCTGGCTTTCGCAAGCAAAAAGCAAGTCTGAACCCCAAAGGAGCAGCCGGCCCTGCTGATTTATAGGGCCTGAATCCAATCTGTGAGAGCAAATTGAATTTTGAATAGAATTTCATGTCAATTAACTTTGCTCAGAGTCTTAGAGAAGAACAGTGACTCTCTAAAGGAAAACCGAGTGGTGAAGATTGATGGGGCTGACCGGCCATCCTGGAAGCGACTAATTATCGGCCAAGCAGGGGAAGGCCCTGTGCTGGGCAAGGCGACCAGGTGAGGGCTGGGCTTCCAGCCGCAGCGAGGGCCCAGGGCAGGCTGGGGGTGGAGAGAGGTTTTCTCTCTGGTGGGCTTCCCGTCTGCAGACAGGGACCCCCTGCCCTTACTGCATCTGATGGTCCCACCTGGTGGGAAGGAAGGTCCTCAGCAACAGGATGAAGGGGCAGGAGAGACCTGGGCTAGCCGCAGGCATAGAGCCAAGCCCCAGGGGCCTGGGAGAGAGCTAGTGAGGCGCCCTGAACTAGGGCAACAAGAAGAGGGAGGATTTCATTGTCCACAAGAGGCAGGCCCTAAGGTGGGGGAAGCACGCGGGGGAGGGGTGGGATCCCATGCTCAGGGACACCGGTGGCCACAGAGGGGGCACGCACCTGTAAGCCCTACTGTGTGCCATGTGCTGTCGTGGTTCCGGACACCGTGGTCCCCAAAGTGCAGTCCCCAGACCTGCAGTCCCTTCGTTGGACATGCAAATTTTCAGGCCCCAGATGAATGGGAAACTCTGGGGCAGGCCCAGAGATGCAGGCCAAGGAAACTCCCAGTCCCACGTGACCGACAGTTTCAGAGCTGGAGAACTCCCTGAACCTTCAGACCACCCACTGCGGGGAGCGGAGACAGCACCTCCAGCCCTGTTTTGGAGCAGGGACCCCGAGGCAAAGAAAGAAGCGGGATCCATTGCCCTAATCTTGTGGGAGGAAGCTGGGGACGGACAGTCTGGCTCTGTGACTGCCCTGCCCAGCACACATTGTTCTAGGAGGTGGGGGGAGGGGAGACAGGAAAGGGCCCAAGGGAAGCCCCAGGCTGGGTGTAGGGCGGGTCTCTGCACCCTACAGAGCAGGTATGGAGCCTGGAAGCTGCCCTCAGAACAGGCCTTGGACCCAAGGGCCTGTACCCAAATGAAATCTTGAAATATTATCCTGGGGCACCCTCCAATGCCCACATTTTCAGGCCTTCTGTCCTCAGGTGGGAATGAAGATAGCGGGAATACAGAGGGACCGGTCTGAATCCGTTTCTGTCTTCCTAACGAGGTTCTTACAACTCAAAAGAGATGATGCTGAAGGAGTCAGAGTTTTCCTAACAAAACCTGGAATGGGAAGAGGCAGAGGGGAACCCTGGCCCCACCCTGGGAAGGCTAGGAGAGGGTTGGGGAGGGCTGGAACAGAGAGAGCCTCATGGGGCCGGGATGGACTGAAGGCTAACAGTTCTGGGACCTGAGAGCCCCAACCCTGTGTCTGAAAGCTTGTCGAGTTGCCTTTCCAATGATCATCAGTGGCAGCCCTGGCAACGGGCACCCAGACTACCCACCTCCTTGCCCCCCCACCCCCGCACACACACTGGGGCCCTAGGCCCTCCAAGGGGCAGAGTGATACAAACTGAAAGCCCAAGTCCCTATATGGGGGGTACAGTGGACCATTCTCCCAGCATTGCCCAGGGCAGCACTTCCTCAGTGAGCAAGGGAGCACCTTCCAGAGCTCATCTATTGTGTTCCCTTCAGTTTCCACATAGTCTAGCAAATGTTACCCTGCCTCAGTGCCTTTGCATGGGCTGTGCTCTCTGCAGGGAAACATGGTTTCCTGGTCCTGTGCACTGCCAGCTCCTTCTCATCCTGCAGCTCTCAGCTCAGATCTGCACTCAGAGGCATTCTGGGACCCCTCCCTTCAGTTAGCTTCCTGTTATCATTAGATACTATGTTATCTGGCTCCACAGTCACCGTCACATTCTCTCCCACTTCCAAAAGGGCTGTGTCCTCACTACAGCCTCACGAACAGTGCCTGGACCTAGTGCACTTGCTAAGTGTGAGTTGAGGGAGGAAAACAGCTTCTCCCCACCTGAGTGTCCCTCCTTCCCCCAGGTGGTCCCCTGTTGAGGAAAGAGGAAGTTCACCATTATATCGAGCTTTCAACTCTCCAGCGCCCCTTCCCATCAGTTCCTGCTCTCCAGTAACACTCGGTGGGGAGTAACCCCTACAGCAGAACCTGCTGTCTCAATGTGAACCAGGCAGCCCTGGGGCCTCAGTGAGGGTGCATTCTGGGGTCTGCAGCTCTGGTCTCAGGAGGGCTGCCTTACTCTAAAATCTGAGCAACCTGATCTGGGAGAGGGATGGGGGAGCGCAGCGCCTAGAACTGCAGCGGGGAGGCGGCAGTGGAGAGCTCCCGGAGCTGAGAGCCTGCAGCCGACCGCCTGCCTGAGAGGGGCAGGGGGCCACACGGAAACAGTGGGTGCCCTGCTGGTTTTGGGTAGTGGGAGGCCGGGAAACTTGCCCCGGCCTTCACTCGCTCCCTCTCCGGCAAGGGGCAGTCCGTCCCCCTTCTGCACACATCCGACGGGGACAGGACTTGCAGTGCCTGGGAGAACTCCCCCAGCAAGTCCCCACCCCCACCCCAGGCCCCAGCTCGGGTGGGACGGTGAGCTTGCCCCTCGGCCCACGTGTCGGGTTTGGCTGGAGCAGCCCCCCACCACTTTTCGTGGTGAGGCCGAGGTGAGAAGGGCAGACACCCCTGGACCCTGTGCCATCCACGTGAGGGGACCCCGGCCCAGGTGCCGGCAGAGCCAGGGGAAGAGGCGCGGCCTTCCAGTCCCTCCTTGGGGGGCGGAGCCTGCAGGAATTGGGGCGGAGCTCGGCGGAGGACAGCGCGCACGGGGCGGGGACCGGGGCGGGGTCTCCTCAGCCGGAGGCGGGGCGGGGCCGGCTGGGGCGGGGCCTGGGTGCGGTCGGGGCGGGGCCGGGGCGGGGCTGGCGCCGGACTCGGCTGGAGCGCCCACTTCCTCTTGCGCTGGCTGCCGGGCGGAAGTACGTCAGTTGTTATCTGCTCCGGGCGCCGCCGCCGCCTCAGCCTCAGCTTCAGCCTCAGCGTCAGCCTGAACCTCAGCCTCACGAGCCGCGGCGCCTCAGCCCGGGACCCGCCCCGCCCGCGCTCCGCCCGCCGCCGCCGCCCCGCCGCGCATGAGGCGCGCCCCCGGGGCCGCGGCCCGGGGCCGCTAAGCGCCGGCCGCCCCGCCGATGCGCGCGGCCGCCCGCGCCGGGGCTCCCAGGCCGCGCCGGGCCCGGGGCTGAGGGACCCCGCGCGGCATGCCCGGCCCGGCCTGCCGCCCGCCGCCGCCCAGGGCCCGAGCCCGCGCGGCCCGCACCGAGCCCGGCGGCGCCGCGTAGCGCAGCGGCAGCGGCAGCGGCAGCGCGGGAGCCCGAACGGCGCGGCTGCAAGGTCACCGCGCACCATGGAGGCCAAGGTCCGCCAGAGCCGGCGCTCGCGCGCGCAGCGGGACCGCGGCCGGCGCCGGGAGGCGGCCCGCGACGCCCGCGACCAGAGCGCGTCGTCGGGCGACGAGACCGAGCCCGGGCCTGGCAAGGAGAACGCGGGCCTGCCCCGCGCGCCCCCGCCCCGCGCCGCCGCCGTGCGCCCCCCGCGCCGCCGCCGCCGCGAGTCCAGCTCGCAGGAGGAGGAGGTCATCGACGGCTTCGCCATCGCCAGCTTCAGCACGCTCGAGGCCTTGGAGGTAGGTGGGGCGGCGGGCGAGGCGCTCCCGGGGCGGCGGCACACCCACCCTTAGGGCTGCCGGGCCGCGTGGGCCCCGCGCGCGGCTCAGGTCGCTGCTAGGGGGCCGGGCAGGCTGCGGGGGGGCGCCGGCGGGTGCGTCTGGCGCGGCTGGGGAGAAAAGGTTCGGAACGGCACTGTCCGGCCGAACGCCGCCGGGTCGCGCGCGCCTCTTCTTCAGCTGTTTTCCTTTTTCAAAATACCGCTTGTCTGGGCTCGGGACGTGCCGGGGTGAGCACTGCCGGTCCTGTGAAGGCGGTGGCGGAGGGGGTGCTTCGAGACTCTTTCCGCTCCTCTCCTGCTCCGGTTTCTGTTCAGACGGAGACAGGCGGGGGGATTTCTGAGACCCCTGTCCTGACTGCTGCTTCACTGGCTGGTTAGTAGGACGGCAGAAAAACAAAAACCCCAAAAAACCAAAAACGTTTGTCTGGCTGAGTTGTCCGGGCAACGTTTGCTCAGCAAAGGCGGCCCCTCTTGGGCGAACCCAGGTGAGTCGAGAAGGGATGAGTACTGACTGTCGGGTTTGGCCAGTGCGGTCTCCCAGGACTGGGTAGAAGTCGGACCCCACAGTCCCGCCAGCCCAGCCAGCCCCCACCCGGCACCCTCCAGGGGCCCGTTGCAGCACTTACTAGGGGCCGCCGGCTTCCGCTGGGTTGGGGTCCCAGAGATTGCCTAGTTAACAGCCCCCCTTCGTTTTTCTGGGGCTCGGGAGCCAGTGGCCTGGGATCCCCAGTCGCAGGCTGAGCTTTGGGGAGAGGTGCCTGCTGGGAGCCCTCCCTGAGGTGGGCCCGGTCTGTGGAGGGCCTCAGGATCAGGTACTGGCAGCCGGGGGACATGGCTCTGGGACAGGTGTGCTGCTTTCTGTCTGGGCAGGTGGATCATGCATGGAGGTGGGGCACTTACGTCGACCACATGGCCCCCACCCCCACCCCGGTCCTCTTTGTGTGCAGCGGGGGCCCTGGATGGCTCCTGGATCGAGGGGTCCCCAGCTCAGACACTCTGGCGGGGGTGGCACGTGCCACAGCTCTGAATGGGAAGGGGTGGCCAAGTTCAGCGCCACAGCTTCGGAGTGTGGCTCCCCCGGCCACGCTCCAGGTGCGAGCCTGCCCCGCCAGGTGCGCAAGAGACAGCCTGACTGTGGTCTCCGGGGCCCTGCACGTTGGCCTCTCACGCAGGCACGCTGGCCCCTCGGAGGTTCTGCTGCCTCGGCCCTTTGGTCCCAGGTTGTTTGGAGCCTCGAGTCTCAGTACAGACACTGCTCACGCCCTCCCCAGTGACCTCGCCACCCACACCCTGCCCGTCTTCCACTTTCCTTCCTGTCCGTGACCACTCTCGGAAGCCATCTAGGGAGGGACTCTTCTCTGACCCTCTCCCCACCCGAACTTGTAAGCTGGAAGAGAGCAGGCACCACGTCTGGCTCGTGTGTTCTCTGTGACGGTCCCCGCGCCCATACGTGTTTGTGGAGGGAACACGTGGGAGGAGAACGGCTGTTGAGGAGGCTTGTGCCAGAAGTCCGGCTGCACCCCTGCTGAAATGAGCCCGCAGCAGCCTTGACCGCACCCCTCCGGCATCGGGGACCCTCCGTGCAGCCTTGGGCGTGGGGGCCTCTGCCGGTCCAGCCGTGGACTGGGTCTGCCGGCTGCTCGGTGTTCACCCAGCCACGGCACCATTGTGCCTTTTCCTGCCCTGCTGAGCCAGGGAGGACCCGCCTGCCTTGGAAAGTACGGGGCTTCTGCACAAGTCCGGGCTTCCAGTTTGGTTCCCTCGTTCGGGCTCACTTCTTGCTGAAGCGTAGTAGTTCTCTGCAGAGTTCGGTAATCCATCAGGACACCGAGTGGCCGCACACAGGGAGCCCGTACCTGACCAGGCACAGTTCTGAGTCTGCGTGTCCTCAGACTGCACTGTACAGATGGGGACACCGGGGCCCCGTGCCGCGAACCTCGAGCCCCCCACCCAGTGTCAGAGCTCTGCCAGGGCTGCGTGGCACAGGGGTGTGCGCCGCTGTCACCCCTGGGGCATAAACACACAAATGTCAGGTGACTTGCTCAGGAGGTTGGAGAGTGCGGGAGTCCAAGAGTTCTCCTTTTCTTTATCCTGAGGATGCAGCCTCCCCCACCCCCCATGCCCCAGGCAGGTCCCTAACCCCACCCTTCCTCCCTGCGCACCTGTGTTTGCCGGGAAGAAGGATGAGTCCCTGCCTCTGGTGTCTAAGAGGATCACAGGCCACTTGTGTGAAATGCTGGGGACATACACATGTGACGTGGTGGTGTCAGCTGAGGAGAGGGCTCCCGGTCTGGCGGGGCTCACAGTGTGTCCAAGGCCTGGGCGTGGAGGTGGATGGTGGGAGCTCGCGGTCTGAGCTGAGGGCATGCAGAGGCTATGGGCTGGGCAGGGTTGCCCATCTCGGCCCTGGTCCTCCGTCAGCATTCCGATTCTGTTCAGCAGGGTGGGAGCAGGTGGCAGCGGGGCAGGGGTCTTGTGGTTTGGTGGGGACAGGGGCTGTCTTTCTCTCTCTGACCAGGAATGTTAGGGACAGGTGGATGTTTCTTGCTGTCCTGGTTCCTGTGACATCTCTGCCTGCAGAGGTGATGAGAAGGCCCTTGGGGGACAGGCCAGGACAGAACTAAGGTCCTCCCCCCCCCCCCCCCCCTAATGGCAAAGGGAACCGTTAGGCCACAGTGTGAGCCCCTGAGTCTCCCGGGAGATCCACTTTGTAGGCAGACCTACTGTGTGCCCCCCAGCCTTTCCGTCAGGGCTGCCCGCACGCCTGGGCACCAGCGCTTCCCCTTGACGCTCTCTGTGTGCTGCCTACTTGTGAGCACGTGTGCCGCACGCACCCGCTGGAAACCGCGCTTCTGGTTTGGCATCTGTGTGGTTCTCGCTGACTTGTCTCAGAACAGCGAGACGCCTTCAGCTGGTTCGAAGATCAACATCAGTGAACCGGTTTTCAGTGCCGGCCGTGACCTCCTGCGGTAACTACCCTGGCCAGCTTCTGGGCTTTCCACAGTATGTTGTGCGGGTAGAACCACACGGGCCCTAGTGGCCTATCTCGCCTTTTTTTGCTAGAAAGAAAGGGTTACCCACCATGTCTCTGCACGGGTCTAGGAGACGTGTATCCAGGAGTGGAAAACGAAAAGGCAAACGCCCCAAGTTTTATTGTGGTAACCGGTGACTTCGTGTCTGTAATTCTGTTTCTCACGCCGATCACCACATGTTAACTCAGATAACCCGTAAAATGGACACCTAAACCCAGACACGACCTGCTGCACACCGCTGTGCTTGGGACACCAGGCCGGGCCTCCCTGTGGCCACATCAGCAGGTGAATGGCCGTGTAGGCTCGTGCTCTTGGCCTGCCGCCCAGCTCCCAGCTTCGGGTGGCGTCGGGGGCGCACTATGCTTCTCTGCTGGAAGTAACTCAGTTCTCCCCGGGCTTAGGACGCTGCGGCTGGGGCTGTGCGTCCCAAAGCAGGCACTGGAGGCTCTTTGCATTCTGATGGGTGGTGGCCCTGCAGGGGGGCAGAACTCCCTCGGCCTGTGCAGAGGGCTCAGTGGTAGTGGTTCTGAAGCTGGTGTTCGGTGCCCCCTGGGCAAGGGGCACACGATCAGGCTAGGTCTGCTTGCTAAGGGCCAGGAGTGTGGGGGGCCAGGATGTGGCCCCACTGCCCATGTGCTGAAGCCCACACCATGGGTCCCGCTTGTGGGGGCCTTGATCTGGGGGGGCTGCATGTGTGCCCGGCCCAGCCCTCCAAGGAGAAGGACAGAGGAGAGTCGGTGCTGAGAGGAGCTGTCAGCTGGGAGCGACCACGCCCACTGGCCAGAGCACCTCCAGGCTGCCCCCTGCTCTCCACTTGGGGATACTGAGGCCCGGAGAGCAGGAACACTTTGCCTGCAGTCATGGAACGGAGGTAGGGCACCGAACCTGGAGCTTGCCTACGCCTGCATTCGTCTGCTCCCCTGTTCCTCCTGAGGGCTGCCATGGGGGAGGGGCTGCTCCCTCCAAGGGGGACCCCGCATTCCTGTTGGTAAGCACAACGCCATTGCATAGCCTCCCCCGCCCGTGTGGATGTGGGCTCCCTGGCCTGGGCAGACAGGTGGGGGCGGGGTGGGAGCCTGGCCTGGGCTCTCCAGTTGTGTGGGTCGGTGTCTGCTGTGAGAAGGCATGTGGTTGGAGCAGTGGTGACATTGACAGCCGCTGAGGGCACCGTCCTCACGCACCCACTTGGTAGATGAGGAAACTGAAGGGGGGGCAAAGTTCTCATCTGGAATCCGCCCACCACGGTGCCAGATAACAGGGATCTGGTGAGTCTTCACCCAGACTCGGGTCGCATCTTCGGGACATGTCTGAGCTTGAGTAGAGCGGCCAGCGGTCTCCCTAGCATCTGAATGGACGGCCTTTCCTGGGCGGCCCTGGGCCAGCTGCCTGACCTCTGGGGAAGGGCTGCCCTCTGAGCCTGGCCGGCATCGCAGATGGTCTGCAGGGCCTGCGGCTACGCACAGGCTGCTCTGTCACTGCCCACCTGTCACGGGCGGCGGGGCCATGGCCTAAAGGCTCACACACTATGGCACAGCGCAGTGGAGGTGTCCCTGGGCCTCCTGGCCAGCCTGTTGTCCCTGCCCGGCCCTGGGTACAGCTGAGGGTCTGGAGCTCCTGGCCAGTGGGCAGGGGCTGTTTCCTGGCCTCTGTCACCCCAGCCCACTGCCCTGCTTCTCTCTGGCTGGGGCTCACATACACAGCATTTGTAGCTTGTGGGTCTCAGTTTCTCTGTCCTGCCCACACTGAACCCCAGCATCTGTGAGCACGGCGTGGGACTGATGGCGGCAAAGGTGGGGGCCCCGTGTCCCCCGCGTGCACCCCTCTGAGCCCATACAGGCTGCCCGCACCTCACTGTGGGTGCCGTGGGCCTCATCTGCCAGAGGGTTGGCTTTACCCAGCATGGGCAGCGGGGGTCATGGGGGCACCC